ATCCCACGGTGGCTATGTATGCTGTGTTGGAGGGAGTCCAGTGAGCTGGAAGTCTAAGAAGCAAGGGGAGATAGCTCACTCATCAACGGAGAGCGAGTACATGGCGTTGTTTCATGGGGTGAAGGAGGTGGTTTGGATGAGGAGGTTGCTTGAGGAGTTGGGGCAGGAGCAAGAGGGTCCTACACCTGTGTTTTGTGACAGCCAAGGAGCAATTGCAATGGCTCGCAATGCTGTGCTCCATGGGCTGAACAAGCACATGCATATCAAATGGCATTGGGTGAGGAAGGAGGTGAAGAAGGGCACGGTCTCCTTGCACTACATCAACACTACCAAGCAACCTGCAGATTTTTTGACGAAGCGGCTTGCAGAGCATCAGCATTGGACCTGCGCCACCTTGTGTGGCATGTCCTTCAACTAAGGGAGGCAGCTTCAGGGAGCAGCTAAGGGATGAATGAGAGCACGATGAGGGGGAGTTTGTTGTGCCAACACATTACAGTGGCACGGTCATCGCACTCCCATTCGGCCTACAAGCCTGCTCAGCTTCTGGAATTTTGTGGGGAGGTTGTTCAACACGTGTTCTTCAAACCCTCAAAGTTTCAGAGTTTTTGAAGCAGTTACCAAGGCATGACAACATTTTATGTTTCAAGACTTATGGCATCCCGGAAGTGTGTGTTACTCCTTTTTGGTAACACCCGAGTTCACCATTTCGGCTGCTGACTCGTCTACCGAGATCTGATTGGTCTGAAATTCGGTCTGGAAGTCCTTTGACCCGCTGTGCAAGTGGTCACCAAGTTTCAGAACGATCCAACATCTGAGCATTGCGTGACAGCTGCCGAAATTCACTGTTCCGTAGTCATGGTGCACTGTTGGCAGCATTTCCCTTGCCACCCTTTCATTGTTGTCATGCCAATGGTGCAGGGACAGAGAATGAGATAAGAAGTACAGGTGGTCAAGTGGGACTCTACAACCCTCCTTTTGAGAAGTGTGGTCTTCCTGGAAGCAACTTGCAAGAGGGTGCAAGTGGGAAGACAAGCTGACTCATGTTGGCTTGACTCACTATTGGTAGCCTTGAGTACAGCTCTGAACATCCAAGTGTGGTTGGCTTTGCTGACCTAGCTAGGACGTTTCCCATTCTTCTCTAGCCTTTCTCCCCTAGGACTCAACCTTCTCTGAGTTCCCAGGATGACCCAACCCCTTATGAGTCCCCTAGGCAATGTTGTACTCACCTCTTCCTTGCATCAATGAGAATACACGTTTTTTCAGCCGAGCTTACGTTTTCGTTCACTGCGTAGTGCACACACCTCTGATAATAGCAAGTAATATACCGTTGGAAAGCAGACACCAAAGGCTAACCGCTGTCCAAGTTTCAGCCTCGTATGTTCTCGGAGCTGATCGTCACGGCGTTTTGAACAGAGGCGGTTTGAAGACGTCAGATTCTGCTTAGGCGGTTTCATGGGCATCCGCGACCCCTAAGTGGACTGCAGACTATAACAGTTGGTCGACCAGGCGTGAGGTCGACCTGGTGGTCGACCAAACATGATGGTCGACGAGGAGCTGGTCGACCATGAGGGACGTCGACCTGGAGCTGGTCGACCAGGGGTAGTGGTCGACCTGGTGAGGTCGATTGGAGGTGGTCGTCGACTTGGGAGGTCGACGGGCACACACGGGAGCAGCTGGTCGACGTGGTTGCCCGATCGACCATGTTACCTGGGTGACGAGGATCTGCGAAGGCGCGCGAAGGTCGCCCAGGCGTCGTTGGCAAGGACGACCTTGGTGGTGGTATCCCGAGGTCGACGTGGCTGATAAGAAGCTGTCGTCAACAAGAAGTTGACTTGGTGTGTGCGCTGTGCAGGTGACGAGGTACTGCACACCAATCATCTGCGAGCACCTGCGAAGCGGGTGCGATGCTGTACTGCGGGAGCAACGCTGGCACGCCGTCGACTTGCGCTATTGTCACGCCATCGACAGGCAGCGTTGGCGAGCCGCGACTCTGCACTGCTGGAGCGCGGTCGACCAAGTCGTGCTGGCGCGCGGTCGACCGTGCTGCGCTGGCAGTCGACCTGCTTGCATCCTAGCTCTGATGTAGTCTTGCCTTGCCAACTTTATTGTATCATTGTTGTCAACTTTCTCTAGTGAAACTCTTGCCAACTTGCCTCGTGATCTAGCAAGCAGTGTGTGCACTAGGAAAACGAGTAAGGACTAATGAACGCAGAGATCACACGAGCACCCGTGCCTAGCCCATAGTCTAGCTCCCGTTGTAGTAGTTATCTCCGCATGGTGCTGTGAGCGTGGACGGCACCTGACTTACCTTTCAGTCTAGTCGACTTATTAGGCACCTTACCTAAGTTGTTCGTAGGCCGGCAGCTGTGCAGTAGTCACTATGGTAGGCGCCGTAGGTGACACGGGGGTGGTGGACACCCTGGAGGCACGGCTGGAGAGCGCGAAGAGACGCCATGAGGCGAAGGAGTTCGGCGACATCCCTTGGGCGGTCGTCGATGCTGGCATCCGTTCCGTGTGGGCGACGGAGCACTCTTCTCGGCCTGTGTCTCCTCGACCGGTGAACGACGAAGGCAGCGTCGACGTGGGCGTCCACGCGAGGGGCGACCAAGTCGGTAGTAGTGCGGGAGGCACGTCGTCGAGGCAGCGTGGTGTGGTTCACGCCGATAAAGTCGGCGGCGTTCGGGGGCGACGGATGCGGTCGTCGGCGGCTGCAGGCTCCTCGCAGGGTGACATCGGAGGTCGACGAAGTGGATCTGTGCCGATGTCGGCGACCCAGATGAGAGCAGGCGGGATTGCACCAAGCTACGGCTACTTCAAGTTTACGCCGGATAAGATTTTGGTGACTCCCCTGCTGGTCGGTCGACCCGACATTCTCACCTGGAAGGAAGCGATCGAGCCCCAACTGGAGATGGCCGGGCTGATCAACTTTGCTCGTGGTACCGTGGCGACGCCGGATGACCCCGACTTGCGTGCAGAGTTTCGCGACGCTCTCGGGCGTCCGGGGAGAGCATCGCGACGCTCTGGGGCGGCCGGGGAGAGCATCGCGACCCTCTGGGGCGTTCGGGGAGAGGATCCCGACGCTCTAGGGCGTCCGGGGAGAGCATCGCGACGCTCTGGGGCGTCCGGGGAGAGCATCGCGACACTCTGGGGCGTCCGTGGAGAGCATCGCGATGCTTCGGGGCGGCGGGAAAGAGCATCGCGATGCTCTGGGGCGTCCGGGGAGAGCATCTCGACGCTCTGGGGCGTCCGGGGAGAGCATCGCGACGCTCTGGGGCGTCCGGGGAGAGCATCGCGACGCTCTGGGGCGTCCGGGGAGAGCACCGCGACGCTCTGGGGCGTCCGGGGAGAGCACCGCGACGCTCTAGGGCGTCCGGGGAGAGCATCGCGACGCTCTGGGGCGTTCGGGGAGAGCATCGCGACGCTTAGGGGCGGCTGGGGAGAGCATCGCGACGCTCTCGGGCGTCCGGGGAGAGCATTGCGACGCTTTGGGGCGTCCGGGGAGAGCATCACGATGCTCCGGGGCGGCTGGGGAGAGCATCACGATGCTTTGGGGCGTCCGGGGAGAGCATCGCGACGCTCTGGGGCGTCCGGGGAGAGCATCGCGATGCTCTGGGGCGTCCGAGGAGAGCATCGCTACGCTCTGGGGCGTTCAGGGAGAGCATCGCGACGCTCTGGGGCGTCCGGGGAGAGCATCACGACGCTCTAGGGCGGCTGGGGAGAGCATCGCGATGCTCTGGGGCATCCGGGGAGAGCATCGCGACGCTCTGGGGCGTCCGGGGAGAGCATCGCGACGCTCTGGGGCGTCCGAGGAGAGCATCGCGACGCTCTGGGGCGTCCGGGGAGAGCATCGCGACGCTCTGGGGTGGCTGAGGAGAGCATCGCGACGCTCTGAGGCGTCCGGGGAGAGCATCGCGACGCTCTGGGGCGTCCGGGGAGAGCATCGCGATGCTCTGGGGCGTCCGGGGAGAGCATCTCGACTCTCAGGGGCGTCCCGGAGAGCATCGCAATGCTCCGGGGCGGCTGGGGAGAGCATCGCGATGCTCTGGGGCGTCCGGGGAGAGCATCGCGACGCTCTGGGGCGGCTGGGGAGAGCATCGCGACGCTCTAGGGCGTCCCGGGAGAGCATCGGGCGTCCGGGGAGAGCATCGCGACGCTCTGGGGCGTCCGGGGAGAGCATAGCGACGCTCTAGGGCGTCCGTGGAGAGCATCGCGGCGCTCTGGGGGGTCCGGGGAGAGCATCGCGACGCTCTGGGGCGGCTGGGGAGAGCATCGCGACGCTCTAGGGCGTCCCGGGAGAGCATCGGGCGTCCGGGGAGAGCATCGCGACGCTCTGGGGCGTCCGGGGAGAGCATAGCGACGCTCTGGGGCGTCCCGGGAGAGAATCGCTACGCTCTGGGGCGTCCGGGGAAAGCATCCCGACGCTCTGGGCCGTCCGGGGAGAGCATCGCGACGCTCTGGGGCGGCTGGGGAGAGCATCGCGATGCTCCGGGGCGGCTAGGGAGAGCATCACGATGCTCTGGGGCGTCCGGGGAGAGCATCGCGACGCTCAGGGGCGTCCGGGAGAGCATCGCGATGCTCTGGGGCGTCCGGGGAGAGCATCGCGACTCTGGGGCGTCCGGGGAGAGCATCGCGATGCTCTGGGGCGTCCGGGGAGAGCATCGCGACTCTGGGGCGTTCGGAGAGAGCATCGCGACGCTCTGGGCCGTCCGGGGAGAGCATCGCGACGCTCTGGGGCGTCCGGGGAGAGCATCGCGATGCTCTGGGGCGTCCGGGGAGAGCATCGCGACGCTTTGGGGCGTCCGGGGAGAGCATCGCGATGCTCCAGGGCGGCTGGGGGGAGCATCACGATGCTCTGGGGCGTCCGGGGAGAGCATCGCGACGCTCTGGGGCGTCCGGGGAGAGCATCGCGATGCTCTAAGGCGTCCGGGGAGAGCATCGCGATGCTCTGGGGCGTCCGAGGAGAGCATCGCGACGCTCTGGGGCGTCCGGGGAGACCATAGCTACGCTCTGGGGCGTCCGGGGAGAGCATCGCGATGCTCTGGGGCGTCCAGGGAGAGCATCGCGACGCTCTGGGGCGTCCGGGGAGAGCATAGCGACGCTCCGGGGCGTCCGGGGTGAGCATCTCGACGCTCTAGGGCGTCTGGGGAGAGCATCGCGACGCTCTGGGGCGTCCGGGGAGACCATAGCGACGCTCTGGGGCGTCCGGGGAGAGCATCGCGACGCTCTAGGGCGTCCAAGGAGAGCATCGCGACGCTCTGGGGCGTCCGAGGAGAGCATAGCGACGCTCTGGGGCGTCCGGGGAGAGCATAGTGACGCTCTGGGGCGTCCGGGGAGAGCATCGCAACGCTCTGGGGCGTCCGGGGAGAGCATCGCGCTGCTCTGGGGCGTCCGGGGAGAGCATCGCGACGCTCTGGGGCGTCCGGGGAGAGCATCGTGAAGCTCTGGGGCGTCGGGGGAGAGCATCGCGACGCTCTGGGGCGTCCGGGGAGAGCATTACGACGCTCTGGGGCGGCTGGGGAGAGCACGCTCTGGGGCGTCCGGGTAGAGCATCGCGACGCTCAAGGGCGTCCGATGAGAGCATCGCGACGCTCTAGGGCGTCCGGGGAGAGCATCGCGACGCTCTGGGGCGTCCGGGGAGAGCATCGCGACGCTCTGGGCCGTCCGGGTAGAGCATCGCGATGCTCTGGGGCGTCCGGGGAGAGCATAGCGACGCTCTGGGGCGTCCGGGAAGAGCATCGCGACGCTCTAGGGCAACCAGGGAGAGCATCGTGACGCTCTGGGGCGTCCGGGGAGAGCATCGCGACGCTCTGGGGCGTCGGGGGAGAGCATCGCGACGCTCTGGGGCGTCCGGGGAGAGCATCGCGACGCTCTGGGGCGTCCGGGGAGAGCATCGCGACGCTCTGGGGCGGCTGGGGAGAGCATCCCGACGCTCTGGGGCGTCCGGGTAGAGCATCGCGACGCTCTGGGGCGTCCGGAAAGAGCATCGCGACGCTATGGAGCGTTCGGGGAGAGCATCGCGACGCTCTGGGGCGTCCGACGAGAGCATCGCGGCGCTCTGGGGCGTCCGGGGAGAGCATCGCGACGCTCTGGGGCGTCCGGGGCGAGCATCGCGACGCTCTGGGGCGTCCGGGGAGAGCATCGCGGCGCTCAGGGGCGTCCGGGGAGAGCATCGCGGCGCTCTGGGGCGTCCGGGGAGAGCATCGCGACGCTCTGGGGCGTCCGGGGAGAGCATCGCGGCGCTCTGGGGCGTCCGGGGAGAGCATCGCGACGCTCTGTGGCGTCCGGGGAGAGCAGCGCGACGCTTTGGGGCGTCCGGGGAGAGCATCGCGACGCTCTGGGGCGTCCGGGGAGAGCATCGCGACGCTCTGGGGCGTCCGGGTAGAGCATCGCGACGCTCTGGGGCGTCCGGGGAGAGCATCGCGACGCTCTGGGGCGTCCGGGGAGAGCATCGCGACGCTCTGGGGCATCCGGGGAGAGCATCGCGACGCTCTGGGGCGGTTGGGGAGAGCATCGCGACGCTCTGGGGCGTCCGGGTAGAGCATCGCGACGCTCTGGGGCGTCTGGGGAGCGCATCACAACGCTCTGGGGCGTCCGCGGAGAGCATCGCGACGCTCTGGGGCGTCCGGGGAGAGCATCGCGACGCTCTGGGGCGTCACGGGAGAGTATCGCGATGCTCTGGGGCGTCCGAGGAGAGCATCGCGACGCTCTGGGGCGTCCAGAGAGAGCATCGTGATGCTCTGGGGCGTCCGAGGAGAGCATCGCGACGCTCTGGGGCGTCCGTGGAGAGCATCGCGACGCTGTGGGGCGTCCGGGGAGAGCATCGCGACGCTCTGGGGCGTCCAGGGAGAGCATCGCGACGCTCTGGGGCGTCCGGGGAGAGCATCACGACGCTCTGGGGCGGCTGGGGAGAGCATCGCGACGCTCTGGGGCGTACGGGTAGAGCATCGCGACGCTCTGGCCGTCCGGGGAGAGCATCGCGACGCTCTGGGGCGTTCGGGGAGAGCATTGCGACGCTCTAAGGCGTCCGGGGAGAGCATCGCGATGCTCTGGGGCGTCCGGAGAGAGCATCGCGACGCTCTGGGGCGTCCGGGGAGAGCATCGCGACGCCCTGGGGCGTCCGGGGAGAGCATCGCGGCGCTCTGGGCCGTCCGGGGAGAGCATCGCGTCGCTTTGGGGCGTCCGGGGAGAGCATCGCGATGCTCTGGGGCGTCCGGGGAGAGCATCGCGACGCTCCGGAGCGTCAGGGGAGAGCATCGCGACGCTCTGGGGCGTCCAGGTAGAGCATCGCGACGCTCTGGGGCGTCCGGGGAGAGCATCGCGACGCTCTGGGGCGTCCGGGGGGAGCATCGCGACGCTCTGGGGCGTCCGGGGAGAGCATCGTTACGCTCTAGGGCGTCCGGGGAGAGCATCGCGATGCTCCAGGGCGTCCGGGGAGAGCATCGTGACGCTCTGGGGCGTCCGGGGAGACCATCGCAACGCTCTGGGGCGTCCGGGGAGAGCATCGCGACGCTCTGGGGCGTCCGGGGAGAGCATCGCGACGCTCTGGGGCGTCCGGGGAGAGCATCGCGACGCTCTGGGGCGTCCGGGGAGAGCATCGCGGCGCCTTGGGGCGTCCGGGGAGAGCATCGCGACGCTCTGGGGCGTCCGGGGAGAGCATCGCGACGCTCTAGGGCGTCCGGGGAGAGCATCGCGACGCTCTGGAGCGTCCGGAGAGAGCATCGCGACGCTCTGGGGCGTCTAGGTAGAGCATCGCGACGCTCTGGGGCGTCCGGGGAGAGCATCGCGACGCTCTGGGGCGTCCGGGGGGAGCATCGCGACGCTCTGGGGCGTCCGGGGAGAGCATCACGACGCTCTGGGGCGTCCGGGGAGAGCGTCGCGATGCTCTAGGGCGTCCAGGGAGAGCATCGCGACGCTCAGGGGCGTCCGGGGAGACCATAGCGACGCTCTGGGGCGTCCGGGGAGAGCATCGCGACGCTCTGGGGCGTCCGGGGAGAGCATCGCGACGCTCTGGGGCGTCCGGGGAGAGCATAGCGACGCTCTGGGGCGTTCGGGGAGAGCATCGCGACGCTCTGGGGCGTCCGGGGAGAGCATCGCGACGCTCTAGGGCGTCCGGGGAGAGCATCGCGACGCTCCAGGGCGTCCGGGGAGAGCATCGTGAAGCTCTAAGGCGTCGGGGGAGAGCATCGCGATGCTCTGGGGCGTCCGGGGAGAGCATTACGACGCTCTGGGGCGGCTGGGGAGAGCATCGTGACGCTCTGGGGCGTCCCGGGAGACCATAGCGACGCTCTGGGGCGTCCGGGGAAAGCATCGCGACGCTCTGGGGCTTCCCGGGAGAGCATCGCGACGCTCTGGGGCGTCCGGGGAGAGCATCGAGACGCTCTGGGGCGTCCGGGGAGAGCATAGCGACGCTCTGGGGCGTCTAGGGAGAGCATCGCGACGCTCTGGGGCGTCCGGGGAGAGCATCGCGACGCTCTGGGGCGTCCGGGGAGAGCATCGCGACGCTCTGGGGCGTCCGGGGAGAGCATCGTGAAGCTCTGGGGCGTCGGGGGAGAGCATCGCGACGCTCTGGGGCGTCCAGGTAGAGCATCGCGACGCTGTGGGGCGTCCGGGGAGAGCATCGCGACGCTCTGGGGCGTCCGGGGGGAGCATCGCGACGCTCTGGGGCGTCCGGGGAGAGCATCGCGACGCTCTGGGGCGTCCGGGGAGAGCATCGCGATGCTCTGGGGCGTCCGGGGAGAGCATCGCGACGCTCTTGGGCGTCCGGGGAGACCATAGCGACGCTCTGGGGCGTCCGCGGAGAGCATCGCGACGCTCTGGGGCGTCCAGGGAGAGCATCGCGACGCTCTGGGGCGTCCGGGGAGAGCATAGCGACGCTCTGGGGCGTCCGGGGAGAGCATCGCGACGCTACGGGGCGTCCGGGGAGAGCATCGCGACGCTCTGGGGCGTCCGGGGAGAGCATCGTGAAGCTCTGGGGCGTCGGGGGAGAGCATCACGATGCTCTGGGGCGTCCGGGGAGAGCATTACGACGCTCTGGGGCGGCTGGGGAGAGCATCGCGACGCTCTGGGGCGTCCGGGGAGAGCATCGTGAAGCTCTGGGGCGTCGGGGGAGAGCATGACGATGCTCTGGGGCGTCCGGTGAGAGCATTACGACGCTCTGGGGCGGCTGGGGAGAGCATCGCGACGCTCTGGGGCGTCCGGGGAGAGCATCGTGAAGCTCTGGGGCGTCGGGGGAGAGCATCGCGACGCTCTGGGGCGTCCGGGGAGAGCATCACGACGCTCTGGGGCGTCCGGGGAGAGCATCGTGAAGCTCTGGGGCGTCGGGGGAGAGCATCGCGACGCTCTTGGGCGTCCGGAGAGAGCATTACGACCCTCTGGGGCGTCCGGGTAGAGCATCGCGACGCTCTGGGGCATCCGATGAGAGCATCGCGACGCTCTGGGGCGTCCGGGGAGAGCATCGCGATGCTCTGGGGCGTCCGGGGAGAACATCACGACGCTCTGGGGCGTCCGGGGAGACCATAGCGACGCTCTGGGGCGTCCGGGGAGAGCATCGCGACGCTCTGGGGCGTCCGCGGAGAGCATCGCGACGCTCTGGGGCGTCCGGGGAGAGCATCGCGACGCTCTGGGGCGGCTGGGGAGAGCATCGCGACGCTCTGGGGCGTCCGGGTAGAGCATCGCGACGCTCCGGGGCGTCCGGAAAGAGCATCGCGACGCTCTCGGGGCGTCCGGGGAGAGCATCGCGACGCTCTGGAGCGTCCAAGGAGAGCATCGCGACGCTCTGGGGCGTCTGGGGAGAGCATCGCGACGCTCTGGGGCGTCCGGGGAGAGCAGAGCGGCGCTCTGAGGCGTCCGGGGAGAGCATCGCGACGCTCTGGGGCGTCCAGGGAGAGCATCGAGACGCTCTGGGGGCGTCCGGGGAGAGCATCGCGGCGCTCTGGGGCGTCCGGGGAGAGCATCGCGGCGCTCTGGGGCGTCCGGGGAGAGCATCGCGACGCTCCGGGGCGTCCAGGGAGAGCATCGCGACGCTCTGGGGCGTCCGGGGAGAGCATCGCGACGCTCTGGGGCGTCCGGGGAGAGCATTGCGAAGCTCTGGGGCGTCCGGGGAGAACATCGCGACGCTCTGGGGCGTCCGGGGAGAGCATCTCGACGCTCTGAGGCGTCCGGGTAGAGCATCGCGACGCTCTGGGGCGTCCGGGGAGAGCATCGCGTCGCTTTGGGGCGTCTGGGCAGAGCATCGCGACGCTTTGGGGGCGTCCAGGGAGAGCATCGCGACGCTCTGGGGCGTCCGGGGAGAGCATCGCGGCGCTCTGGGGCGTCCGAGGAGAGCATCGCGGCGCTCTGGGGCGTCCGGGGAGAGCATCGCGACGCTCCGGGGCGTCCGGGGAGAGCATCGCGACGCTCTGGGGCGTTCGGGGAAAGCATCGCGACGCTCCGGGGCGTCCGGGGAGAGCATCGCGACGCTCTGGGGCGTACGTGGAGAGCATCGCGACGCTCTGGGGCGTCCGGGGAGAGCATTGCGACGCTCTGGGGCGTCCGGGGAGAACATCGCGACGCTCTGGGGCGTCGGGGGAGAGCATCGCGACGCTCTGGGGCGTCCGGGTAGAGCATCGCGACGCTCTGGGGCGTCCGGGGAGAGCATCGCGACGCTCTGGGGCGTCTGGGGAGAGCATCGCGACGCTTTGGGGCGTTCGGGGAGAGCATCGCGACGCTCTGGGGCGTTTGGGGAGAGCATCGCGATGCTCTTGGGCGTCCGGGGAGAGCATCGCGACGCTCTGGGGCGTCCGGGGAGAGCATCGCGACGCTCTGGGGCGTCCAGGGAGAGCATCGCGACGCTCTGGGGCGTCCGGGGAGGGCATAGCGACGCTCTGGGGCGTCCGGGGAGAGCATCGCGACGCTCTGGGGCGTCCGGGGAGAGCATCGCGACGCTCTGGGGCGTCACGGGAGAGCATCGCGATGCTCTGGGGCGTCCGAGGAGAGCATCGCGACGCTCTGGGGCGTCCAGAGAGAGCATCGTGATGCTCTGGGGCGTCCGAGGAGAGCATCGCGACGCTCTGGGGCGTCCGTGGAGAGCATCGCGACGCTGTGGGGCGTCCGGGGAGAGCATCGCGACGCTCTGGGGCGTCCAGGGAGAGCATCGCGACGCTCTGGGGCGTCCGGGGAGAGCATCACGACGCTCTGGGGCGGCTGGGGAGAGCATCGCGACGCTCTGGGGCGTACGGGTAGAGCATCGCGACGCTCTGGCCGTCCGGGGAGAGCATCGCGACGCTCTGGGGCGTTCGGGGAGAGCATTGCGACGCTCTAAGGCGTCCGGGGAGAGCATCGCGATGCTCTGGGGCGTCCGGAGAGAGCATCGCGACGCTCTGGGGCGTCCGGGGAGAGCATCGCGACGCCCTGGGGCGTCCGGGGAGAGCATCGCGGCGCTCTGGGCCGTCCGGGGAGAGCATCGCGTCGCTTTGGGGCGTCCGGGGAGAGCATCGCGATGCTCTGGGGCGTCCGGGGAGAGCATCGCGACGCTCCGGAGCGTCAGGGGAGAGCATCGCGACGCTCTGGGGCGTCCAGGTAGAGCATCGCGACGCTCTGGGGCGTCCGGGGAGAGCATCGCGACGCTCTGGGGCGTCCGGGGGGAGCATCGCGACGCTCTGGGGCGTCCGGGGAGAGCATCGTTACGCTCTAGGGCGTCCGGGGAGAGCATCGCGATGCTCCAGGGCGTCCGGGGAGAGCATCGTGACGCTCTGGGGCGTCCGGGGAGACCATCGCAACGCTCTGGGGCGTCCGGGGAGAGCATCGCGACGCTCTGGGGCGTCCGGGGAGAGCATCGCGACGCTCTGGGGCGTCCGGGGAGAGCATCGCGACGCTCTGGGGCGTCCGGGGAGAGCATCGCGGCGCCTTGGGGCGTCCGGGGAGAGCATCGCGACGCTCTGGGGCGTCCGGGGAGAGCATCGCGACGCTCTAGGGCGTCCGGGGAGAGCATCGCGACGCTCTGGGGCGTCCGGAGAGAGCATCGCGACGCTCTGGGGCGTCTAGGTAGAGCATCGCGACGCTCTGGGGCGTCCGGGGAGAGCATCGCGACGCTCTGGGGCGTCCGGGGGGAGCATAGCGACGCTCTGGGGCGTCCGGGGAGAGCATCACGACGCTCTGGGGCGTCCGGGGAGAGCGTCGCGATGCTCTAGGGCGTCCAGGGAGAGCATCGCGACGCTCAGGGGCGTCCGGGGAGACCATAGCGACGCTCTGCGGCGTCCGGGGAGAGCATCGCGACGCTCTGGGGCGTCCGGGGAGAGCATCGCGACGCTCTGGGGCGTCCGGGGAGAGCATCGCGACGCTCTGGGGCGTCCGGGGAGAGCATCGCGACGCTCTGGGGCGTCCGGGGAGAGCATAGCGACGCTCTGGGGCGTCCAGGGAGAGCATCGCGACGCTCTGGGGCGTCCGAGGAGAGCATCGCGACGCTCTGGGGCGTCCGGGGAGAGCATCACGACGCTCTAGGGCGGTTTGGGAGAGCATCGCGACGCTCTGGGGCGTTTGGGGAGAGCATCGCGACGCTCTGGGGCGTCCAGGGAGAGCATCGCGACGCTCTGGGGCGTCCGGGGAGAGCATCACGACGCTCTGGGGCGTCCGGGGAGAGCATCGCGACGCTCTGGGGCGTCCGAGGAGAGCATCGCGATGCTCCGGGGCGTCTGGGGAGAGCATCACGACGCTCTGGGGCGTCCGGGGAGAGAATCGTGACGCTCTGGGGCGTCCGGGGAGAGCATCGCGACGCTCTGGGGCGGCTGGCGAGAGCATCGCGACGCTCTGGGGCGTCTGGGACGCTCTGGGGCGTCCGGGGAGAGCATCGCGACGCTCTGGGGCGTCCGGGGAGAGCATCGCGACGCTCTAGGGCGTTCGGGGAGAGCATCGCGATGCTCTGGGGCGTCCGGGGAGAGCATAGCGACGCTCTGGGGCGTCCGGGGAGAGCATCGCGATGCTCTGGGGCGTCCAGGGAGAGCATCGCGATGCTCTGGGGCGTGCGGGGAGAGCATCGCGACGCTCTGGGGCCTCCGGGGAGAGCATCGCGATGCTTTGGGGCGTCCGAGGAGAGCATCGCGACGCTCTGGGGCGTCCGGGGAGAGCATCGCGACGCTCTGGGGCGTCCGAGGAGAGCATAGCGACGCTCTGGGGCGTCCGGGATGAGCATCGCGACGCTCTGGGGCGTCCGTGTAGAGCATCGCGACGCTCTGGGGCGCCCGGGGAGAGCATCGCGACGCTCTGGGGCATTCGGGGAGAGCATCGCGACGCTCTGGGGCGTCCGGGGAGAGCATCGCGACGCTCTGGGGCGTCCGGGGAGAGCATCGCGGCCATCTGGGGCGTCCGGGGAGAGCTTCGCGACGCTCTGGGGCGGCGTAGGAGAGCATCGCGACGGTCTGGGGCGTCTGGAGAGAGCATCATGACGCTCTGGGGCGTCCAGGGAGAGCATCGCGATGCTCTGGGGAGTCCGGGGAGAGCATCGCGACGCTCTGGGGCGTCCGGGGAGAGCATAGCGACGCTCTGGGGCGTCCGGGGAGAGCATCGCGATGCTCTAGGGCGTCCGGGGAGAGCATCGCGACGCTTTGGGGCATCCGAGGAGAGCATCGCAATGCTCTGGGGCATCCGGGGAGAGCATCCCGACACTCTGGGGCGTCCGGGGAGAGCATCGCGACGCTCTGGGGCGGTATGGGAGAGCATCGCGACACTTTGGGGCGTCCGGGTAGAGCATCGCGACGCTCTGGGGCGTCCGGGGAGAGCATCGCGACGGTCTGGGGCGTCTGGAGAGAGCATCATGACGCTCTGGGGCGTCCAGGGAGAGCATCGCGATGCTCTGGGGAGTCCGGGGAAAGCATCGCGACGCTCTGGGGCGTCCGGGGAGAGCATAGCGACGCTCTGGGGCGTCCGGGGAGAGCATCGCGATGCTCTGGGGCGTCCGGGGAGAGCATCGCGACGCTTTGGGGCATCCGAGGAGAGCATCGCAATGCTCTGGGGCATCCGAGGAGAGCATCCCGACACTCTGGGGCGTCCGGGGAGAGCATCGCGACGCTCTGGGGCGGTTTGGGAGAGCATCGCGACACTTTGGGGCGTCCGGGTAGAGCATCGCGACGCACAGGGGCGTCCGAGGAGAGCAGCGCGACGCTCTGGGGCGTCCGGGGACAGCATCGCGACGCTCTGGGGCGTCAGGGGAGAGCATCGCGATGCTCTGGGGCGTCCGGGGAGAGCATCGCGACACTCTGGGGCGTCCGGGGAGAGCATAGCGACGCTCTGGGGCGTCCGGGGAGAGCATCGCGACGCTCTGGGGCGTCCGGGGAAAGCATCGCGACGCTGGGGCGTCCGGGGAGAGCATCGCGACGCTCTAGGGCGTCCGGGGAGAGCTTCGCGACGCTCTGGGGCGGCTGGGGAGAGCATCGCGACGGTCTGGGGCGTCCGGGGAGAGCATCGCGACGCTCTGGGGCGTCCGGGGAGAGTATTGCGATGCTCTAGGGCGTCCGGGGAGAGCATCGCGACGCTCTGGGGCGTCCAGGGAGAGCATCGCGACGCTCTGGGGCGTCCGGTGAGAGCATCGCGATGCTCTGGGGCGTCCGGGGAGAGCATCGCGACGCTCTGGGGCGTCCGGGGAGAGCATAGCGACGCTCTGGGGCGTCCGAGGAGAGCATCGCGACGCTCTGGGGCGTCCGAGGAGAGCATCGCGACGCTCTGGGGCGTCCGGGGAGAGCATCGCGACGCTCTGGGGCGTCCGGGGAGAGCATCGCGACGCTCTGGGGCGTCCAGGGAGAGCATCGCGACGCTCTGGGGCGTCCAGGGAGAGCATCGCGACGCTCTGGGGCGTCCGGGGAGAGCATCGCGACGCTCTGGGGCGTTTGGGGAGAGCATCGCGACGCTCTGGGGCGTCCGGGGAGAGCATCGCGACGCTCTGGGGCGTCCAGGGAGAGCATCGCGACGCTCTGGGGCGTCCGCTCTGGGGCGGCTGGGAAGAGCATCGCGACGCTCTGGGGCGTCCGGGGAGAGCATCGCGACGCTCTGGGGCGTCCGGGGAGAGCATCGCGATGCTCTGGGGCGTCCGGGGAGAGCATCGCCACGCTCTGGGGCGTCCGGGGAGAGCATCGCGACGCTCTGGGGCGTCCGGGGAGAGCATCGCGACGCTCTGGGGTGTCCGGGGAGAGCATAGCGACGCTCTGGGGCGTCCGGGGAGAGCATCGCGACGCTCTGGGGCGTCCGGGGAGAGCATCGCGACGCTCTGGGGCGTCCGGGGAGAGCATCGCGACGCTCTGGGGCGTCCGGGGAGAGCATCGCGACGCTCTAGGGCGTCTGGGGAGAGCATCGCGACGCTCTGGGGCGTCCAGGGAGAGCATCGCGACGCTCTGGGGCGGCCGGGGAGAGCATCGCGACGCTCTGGGGCGTCCGGGGAGAGCATCGCGACGCTCTGGGGCGTCCGGGAGAGCATCGAGACGCTCTGGGGCGTCCGGGGAGAGCATAGCGACGCTCTGGGGCGTCCAAGGAGAGCATCGCGACGCTCTGGGGCGTCCGGGGAGAGCATCGCGACGCTCTGGGGCGTCCGGGAGAGCATCGCGACACTCTGGGGCGTCCGGGAGAGCATCGCGACGCTCTGGGGCGTCCGGGGAGAGCATAGCGACGCTCTGGGGGCGTCCGAGGAGAGCATCGCGACGCTCTGGGGCGTCCGGGGAGAGCATCGCGACGCTCTGGGGCGTCCGGGGAGAGCATCGCGACGTTTTGGGGCGTCCGGGGAGAGCATCGCGACGCTCTGGGGCGTCCGGGGAGAGCATCGCGACGCTCTGGGGCGCCCGAGGAGAGCATCGCGACGCTCTGGGGCGTCCGGGGAGAGCATCGCGACGCTCTGGGGCGTCCGGGGAGAGCATCGCGACGCTCTAGGGCGTCCGGGGAGAGCATCGCGACGCTCTGGGGCGTCCGGGGAGAGCATCGCGACGCTCTGGGGCGTCCGGGGAGAGCATCGCGACGCTCTGGGGCGTCCGGGGAGAGCATCGCGACGTTTTGGGGCGTCCGAGGAGAGCATTGCGACGCTCTGGGGCGTCCGCTCTGGGGCGGCTGGGAAGAGCATCGCGACGCTCTGGGGCGTCCGCTCTGGGGCGGCTGGGAAGAGCATCGCGACGCTCTTGGGCGTCCGGGGAGAGCATCGCGACGCTCTGGGGCGTCCGGGGAGAGCATCGCGATGCTCTGGGGCGTCCGGGGAGAGCATCACCACGCTCTGGGGCGTCCGGGGAGAGCATCGCGACGCTCTGGGGCGTCCGGGGAGAGCATCGCGATGCTCTGGGGCGTCCGGGGAGAGCATAGCGACGCTCTGGGGCGTCCGGGGAGAGCATCGCGACGCTCTGGGGCGTCCGGGGAGAGCATCGCGACGCTCTGGGGCGTCCGAGGAGAGCATCGCGACGCTCTGGGGCGTCCGGGGAGAGCATCGCGACGCTCTGGGGCGTCCGGGGAGAGCATCGCGACGCTCTAGGGCGTCCGGGGAGAGCTTCGCGACGCTCTGGGGCGTCCGGGGAGAGCATCGCGACGCTCTGGGGCGTCCGGGGAGAGCATCGCGACGCTCACGGGCGGCTGGGGAGAGCATCGCGACGCTCTGGGGCGTCCGGGGAGAGCATCGCGACGCTCTTGGGCGTCCGGGGAGAGCATCGCGACGCTCTGGGGCGTCCGGGGAGAGCATCGCGATGCTCTGGGGCGTCCGGGGAGAGCATCGCCACGCTCTGGGGCGTCCGGGGAGAGCATCGCGACGCTCTGGGGCGTCCGGGGAGAGCATCGCGACGCTCTGGGGCGTCCGGGGAGAGCATAGCGACGCTCTGGGGCGTCCGGGGAGAGCATCGCGACGCTCTGGGGCGTCCGGGGAGAGCATCGCGACGCTCTGGGGGCGTCCGAGGAGAGCATCGCGACGCTCTAGGGCGTCCGGGGAGAGCATCGCAAGGCTCTGGGGCGTCCGAGGAGAGCATCGCGACGCTCTGGGGCGTCCGGGGAGAGCATCGCGACGCTCTGGGGCGTCCGGGAGAGCATCGCGACGCTCTGGGGCGTCCGGGGAGAGCATAGCGACGCTCTGGAGCGTCAGGGGAGAGCATCGCGACGCTCTGGGGCGTCCGGGGAGAGCATCGCGACGCTCTGGGGCGTCCGGGGAGAGCATCGCGACGTTTTGGGGCGTCCGAGGAGAGCATTGCGACGCTCTGGGGCGTCCGGGGAGAGCATCGCGACGCTCTGGGGCGTCCGGGGAGAGCATCGCGACGTTTTGGGGCGTCCGAGGAGAGCATTGCGACGCTCTAGGGCGTCCGGGGAGAGCATCGCAAGGCTCTGGGGCGTCCGAGGAGAGCATCGCGACGCTCTGGGGCGTCCGGGGAGAGCATCGCGACGCTCTGGGGCGTCCGGGAGAGCATCGCGACGCTCTGGGGCGTCCGGGGAGAGCATAGCGACGCTCTGGAGCGTCCGGGGAGAGCATCCTGACGCTCTGGGGCGTCCGGGGAGAGCATCGCGACGCTCTGGGGCGTCCGGGGAGAGCATCGCGACGTTTTGGGGCGTCCGAGGAGAGCATTGCGACGCTCTGGGGCGTCCGGTGAGAGCATCGCGACGCGCTGGGGCGTCCAGGGAGAGCATCGCGACGCTCTGGGGCGTCCGGGGAGAGCATCGCGACGCTCTGGGGCGTCCGGGGAGAGCATCGCGACGCTCTGGGGCGTCCAGGGAGAGCATCGCGACGCTCTGGGGCGTCCGGGGAGAGCATCGCGACGTTTTGGGGCGTCCGAGGAGAGCATGGCGACGCTCTGGGGCGTCCGGGGAGAGCATCGCGACGCTCTGGGGCGTCTGGGGAGAGCATCGCGACGCTCTGGGGCGTCCGAGGAGAGCATCGCGACGCTCTGGGGCGTCCGGGGAGAGCATCGCGACGCTCTGGGGCGTCCGGGGAGAGCATCGCGACGCTCTAGGGCGTCCGGGGAGAGCATCGCGACGCTCTGGGGCGTCCGGGGAGAGCATCGCGACGCTCTGGGGCGTCCGGGGAGAGCATCGCGACGCTCTGGGGCGTCCGGGAGAGCATCGCGACGCTCTGGGGCGTCCGGGGAGAGCATAGCGACGCTCTGGGGCGTCCGGGGAGAGCATCGCGACGCGCTGGGGCGTCCGGGGAGAGCATCGCGACGCTCTGGGGCGTCCGGGGAGAGCATCGCGACGTTTTGGGGCGTCCGAGGAGAGCATTGCGACGCTCTGGGGCGTCCGCTCTGGGGCGGCTGGGAAGAGCATCGCGACGCTCTGGGGCGTCCGCTCTGGGGCGGCTGGGAAGAGCATCGCGACGCTCTGGGGCGTCCGGGGAGAGCATAGCGACGCTCTGAGGCGTCCGGGGAGAGCATCGCGACGCTCTGGGGCGTCCGGGGAGAGCATCGCGACGCTCTGGGGCGTCCGGGGAGAGCATCGCGACGCTCTGGGGCGTCCAGGGAGAGCATCGCGACGCTCTGGGGCGTCCGCTCTGGGGCGGCTGGGAAGAGCATCGCGACGCTCTGGGGCGTCCGGGGAGAGCATCGCGACGCTCTGGGGCGTCCGGGGAGAGCATCGCGATGCTCTGGGGCGTCCGGGGAGAGCATCGCCACGCTCTGGGGCGTCCGGGGAGAGCATCGCGACGCTCTGGGGCGTCCGGGGAGAGCATCGCGACGCTCTGGGGTGTCCGGGGAGAGCATAGCGACGCTCTGGGGCGTCCGGGGAGAGCATCGCGACGCTCTGGGGCGTCCGGGGAGAGCATCGCGACGCTCTGGGGCGTCCGGGGAGAGCATCGCGACGCTCTGGGGCGTCCGGGGAGAGCATCGCGACGCTCTGGGGCGTCTGGGGAGAGCATCGCGACGCTCTGGGGCGTCCAGGGAGAGCATCGCGACGCTCTGGGGCGGCCGGGGAGAGCATCGCGACGCTCTGGGGCGTCCGGGGAGAGCATCGCGACGCTCTGGGGCGTCCGGGAGAGCATCGAGACGCTCTGGGGCGTCCGGGGAGAGCATAGCGACGCTCTGGGGCGTCCGAGGAGAGCATCGCGACGCTCTGGGGCGTCCGGGGAGAGCATCGCGACGCTCTGGGGCGTCCGGGAGAGCATCGCGACGCTCTGGGGCGTCCGGGAGAGCATCGCGACGCTCTGGGGCGTCCGGGGAGAGCATAGGGACGCTCTGGGGCGTCCGAGGAGAGCATCGCGACGCTCTGGGGCGTCCGGGGAGAGCATCGCGACGCTCTGGGGCGTCCGGGGAGAGCATCGCGACGTTTTGGGGCGTCCGGGGAGAGCATCGCGACGCTCTGGGGCGTCCGGGGAGAGCATCGCGACGCTCTGGGGCGCCCGAGGAGAGCATCGCGACGCTCTGGGGCGTCCGGGGAGAGCATCGCGACGCTCTGGGGCGTCCGGGGAGAGCATCGCGACGCTCTAGGGCGTCCGGGGAGAGCATCGCGACGCTCTGGGGCGTCCGGGGAGAGCATCGCGACGCTCTGGGGCGTCCGGGGAGAGCATCGCGACGCTCTGGGGCGTCCGGAAGAGCATCGCGACGCTCTGGGGCGTCCGGGGAGGGTATAGCGACGCTCTGGGGCGTCCGGGGAGAGCATCGCGACGCTCTGGGGCGTCCGGGGAGAGCATCGCGACGCTCTGGGGCGTCCGGGGAGAGCATCGCGACGTTTTGGGGCGTCCGAGGAGAGCATTGCGACGCTCTGGGGCGTCCGCTCTGGGGCGGCTGGGAAGAGCATCGCGACGCTCTGGGGCGTCCGCTCTGGGGCGGCTGGGAAGAGCATCGCGACGCTCTTGGGCGTCCGGGGAGAGCATCGCGACGCTCTGGGGCGTCCGGGGAGAGCATCGCCACGCTCTGGGGCGTCCGGGGAGAGCATCACCACGCTCTGGGGCGTCCGGGGAGAGCATCGCGATGCTCTGGGGCGTCCGGGGAGAGCATAGCGACGCTCTGGGGCGTCCGGGGAGAGCATCGCGACGCTCTGGGGCGTCCGGGGAGAGCATCGCGACGCTCTGGGGCGTCCGGGGAGAGCATCGCGACGCTCTGGGGCGTCCGAGGAGAGCATCGCGACGCTCTGGGGCGTCCGGGGAGAGCATCGCGACGCTCTGGGGCGTCCGGGGAGAGCATCGCGACGCTCTAGGGCGTCCGGGGAGAGCGTCGCGACGCTCTGGGGCGTCCGGGGAGAGCATCGCGACGCTCTGGGGCGTCCGGGGAGAGCATCGCGACGCTCACGGGCGGCTGGGGAGAGCATCGCGACGCTCTGGGGCGTCCGGGGAGAGCATCGCGACGCTCTTGGGCGTCCGGGGAGAGCATCGCGACGCTCTGGGGCGTCCGGGGAGAGCATCGCGATGCTCTGGGGCGTCCGGGGAGAGCATCGCCACGCTCTGGGGCGTCCGGGGAGAGCATCGCGACGCTCTGGGGCGTCCGGGGAGAGCATCGCGACGCTCTGGGGCGTCCGGGGAGAGCATAGCGACGCTCTGGGGCGTCCGGGGAGAGCATCGCGACGCTCTGGGGCGTCCGGGGAGAGCATCGCGACGCTCTGGGGCGTCCGAGGAGAGCATCGCGACGCTCTAGGGCGTCCGGGGAGAGCATCGCAAGGCTCTGGGGCGTCCGAGGAGAGCATCGCGACGCTCTGGGGCATCCGGGGAGAGCATCGCGACGCTCTGGGGCGTCCGGGAGAGCATCGCGACGCTCTGGGGCGTCCGGGGAGAGCATAGCGACGCTCTGGAGCGTCCGGGGAGAGCATCGCGACGCTCTGGGGCGTCCGGGGAGAGCATCGCGACGCTCTGGGGCGTCCGGGGAGAGCATCGCGACGTTTTGGGGCGTCCGAGGAGAGCATTGCGACGCTCTGGGGCGTCCGGGGAGAGCATCGCGACGCTCTGGGGCGTCCGGGGAGAGCATCGCGACGTTTTGGGGCGTCCGAGGAGAGCATTGCGACGCTCTAGGGCGTCCGGGGAGAGCATCGCAAGGCTCTGGGGCGTCCGAGGAGAGCATCGCGACGCTCTGGGGCGTCCGGGGAGAGCATCGCGACGCTCTGGGGCGTCCGGGAGAGCATCGCGACGCTCTGGGGCGTCCGGGGAGAGCATAGCGACGCTCTGGAGCGTCCGGGGAGAGCATCGCGACGCTCTGGGGCGTCCGGGGAGAGCATCGCGACGCTCTGGGGCGTCCGGGGAGAGCATCGCGACGTTTTGGGGCGTCCGAGGAGAGCATTGCGACGCTCTGGGGCGTCCGGTGAGAGCATCGCGACGCGCTGGGGCGTCCAGGGAGAGCATCGCGACGCTCTGGGGCGTCCGGGGAGAGCATCGCGACGCTCTGGGGCGGCTGGGGAGAGCATCGCGACGCTCTGGGGCGTCCAGGGAGAGCATCGCGACGCTCTTGGGCGTCCGGGGAGAGCATCGCGACGCTCTAGGGCGTCCGGGGAGAGCATCGCGATGCTCTGGAGCGTCCGGGGAGAGCATCGCGACGCTCTGGGGCGTCCGGGGAGAGCATCGCAAGGCTCTGGGGCGTCCGGGTAGAGCATCGCGACGCTCTAGGGCGTCTTGAGAGAGCATCGCGACGCTCTGGGGCGTCCGGGGAGAGCATCGCGACGCTCTGGGGCGTCCGGGGAGAGCATCGCGACGCTCTGGGGCATCCGGGGAGAGCATCGCGACGCTCTGGGGCGTCCAGGGAGAGCATCGCGACGCTCTGGGGCGTCCGCTCTCGGGCGGCTGGGAAGAGCATCGCGATGCTCTGGGGCGTCCGGGGAGAGCATCGCGACGCTCTGGGGCGTCCGGGGAGAGCATCGCAATGCTCTGGGGCGTCCGGGGAGAGCATCGCCACGCTCTGGGGCGTCCGGGGAGAGCATCGCGACGCTCTGGGGCGTCCGGGGAGAGCATCGCGACACTCTGGGGCGTCCGGCGAGAGCATCGCGACGCTCTGGGGCGTCCGGGGAGAGCATCGCGACGCTCTGGGGCGTCCGGCGAGAGCATCGCGACGCTCTGGGGCGTCCGGGGAGAGCATCGCGACGCTCTGGGGCGTCCGGGGAGAGCATCGCGACGCTCTGGGGCGTCCGAGGAGAGCATCGCGACGCTCTGGGGCGTCCGGGGAGAGCATCGGGACGCTCTGGGGCGTCCAAGGAGAGCATCGCGACGCTCTAGGGCGTCCGGGGAGAGCATCGCGACGCTCTGGGGCGTCCGGAGAGAGCATAGCGACGCTCTGGGGCGTCCGGGGAGAGCATCGCGACGCTCTTGGGCGTCCGGGGAGAGCATTGCGACGTTCTGGGGGCGTCCGGGGAGAGCATCGCGACGTTTTGGGGCGTCCGAGGAGAGCATTGCGACGCTCTGGGGCGTACGCTCTGGGGCGGCTGGGAAGAGCATCGCGACGCTCTTGGGCGTCCGGGGAGAGCATCGCGACGCTCTGGGGCGTCCGGGGAGAGCATCGCGACGCTCTTGGGCGTCCGGGGAGAGCATTGCGACGTTCTGGGGGCGTCCGGGGAGAGCATCGCGACGTTTTGGGGCGTCCGAGGAGAGCATTGCGACGCTCTGGGGCGTACGCTCTGGGGCGGCTGGGAAGAGCATCGCGACGCTCTTGGGCGTCCGGGGAGAGCATCGCGACGCTCTGGGGCGTCCGGGGAGAGCATCGCGATGCTCTGGGGCGTCCGGGGAGAGCATCGCCACGCTCTGGGGCGTCCGGGGAGAGCATCGCGACGCTCTGGGGCGTCCGGGGAGAGCATCGCGACGCTCTAGGGCGTCAGGGGAGAGCATAGCGACGCTCTGGGGCGTCCGGGGAGAGCATCGCGACGCTCTGGGGCGTCCGGGGAGAGCATCGCGACGCTCTAGGGCGTCCGGGGAGAGCATCGCGACGCTCTGGGGCGTCCGGGGAGAGCATCGCGACGCTCTGGGGCGTCCGGGGAGAGCATCGCGACGCTCTGGGGCGTCCGGGAGAGCATCGCGACGCTCTGGGGCGTCCGGGGAGAGCATAGCGACGCTTTGGGGCGTCCGGGGAGAGCATCGCGACGCTCTGGGGCGTCCGGGGAGAGCATCGCGACGCTCTGGGGCGTCCGGGGAGAGCATTGCGACGTTTCGGGGCGTCCGAGGAGAGCATTGCGACGCTCTGGGGCGTCCGGGGAGAGCATCGCGACGCTCTGGGGCGTCCGGGGAGAGCATCGCGACGCTCTGGGGCGTCCGGGGAGAGCATCGCGACGCTCTGGGGCGGCTGGGGAGAGCATCGCGACGCTCTGGGGCGTCCGGGGAGAGCATCGCGACGCTCTTGGGCGTCCGGGGGAGAGCATCGCGATGCTCTAGGGCGTCCGGGGAGAGCATCGCGATGCTCTGGAGCGTCCGGGGAGAGCATCGCGACGCTCTGGGGCGTCCGGGGAGAGCATCGCAAGGCTCTGGGGCGTCCGGGGAGAGCATCGCGACGCTCTAGGGCGTCCGGGGAGAGCATCGCGACGCTCAGGGGCGTCCGGGGAGAGCATCGCGACGCTCTGGGGCGTCCGGGGAGAGCATCGCAACGCTCTTGGGCGTCCGGGAGAGCATCGCGACGCTCTGGGGCGTCCGGGGAGAGCATAGCGACGCTCTGGGGCGTCCGGGGAGAGCATCGCGACGCTCTGGGGCGTCCGGGGAGAGCATCGCGACGCTCTGGGGCGTCCGGGGAGAGCATCGCGACGTTTTGGGGCGTCCGAGGAGAGCACTGCGACGCTCTGGGGCGTCCGCTCTGGGGCGGCTGGGAAGAGCATCGCGACGCTCTAGGGCGTCCGCTCTGGGGCGGCTGGGAAGAGCATCGCGACGCTCTTGGGCGTCCGGGGAGAGCATCGCCACGCTCTGGGGCGTCCGGGGAGAGCATCGCGACGCTCTGGGGCGTCCGCTCTGGGGCGGCTGGGAAGAGCATCGCGACGCTCTGGGGCGTCCGGGTAGAGCATCGCGACGCTCTAGGGCGTCCGGGGAGAGCATCGCGACGCTCTGGGGCGTCCGGGGAGAGCATCGCGACGCTCTGGGGCGTCCGGGGAGAGCATAGCGACGCTCTGGGGCGTCCGGGGAGAGCATCGCGACGCTCTGGGGCGTCCGGGGAGAGCATCGCGACGCTCTGGGGCGTCCGGGGAGAGCATCGCGACGCTCTGGGGCGTCCGGGGAGAGCATCGCGACGTTTTGGGGCGTCCGAGGAGAGCACTGCGACGCTCTGGGGCGTCCGCTCTGGGGCGGCTGGGAAGAGCATCGCGACGCTCTGGGGCGTCCGCTCTGGGGCGGCTGGGAAGAGCATCGCGACGCTCTTGGGCGTCCGGGGAGAGCATCGCCACGCTCTGGGGCGTCCGGGGAGAGCATCGCGACGCTCTGGGGCGTCCGCTCTGGGGCGGCTGGGAAGAGCATCGCGACGCTCTGGGGCGTCCGGGTAGAGCATCGCGACGCTCTGGGGCGTCCGGGGAGAGCATCGCGACGCTCTGGGGCGTCCGGGGAGAGCATCGCGACGCTCTGGGGCGTCCGGGGAGAGCATAGCGACGCTCAAGGGCGTCCGGGGAGAGCATCGCGACGCTCTGGGGCGTCCGGGGAGAGCATCGCGACGCTCTGGGGCGTCCGGGGAGAGCATCGCGACGTTTTGGGGCGTCCGAGGAGAGCATTGCGACGCTCTGGGGCGTCCGCTCTGGGGCGGCTGGGAAGAGCATCGCGACGCTCTTGGGCGTCCGGGGAGAGCATCGCGACGCTCTGGGGCGTCCGGGGAGAGCATCGCGATGCTCTGGGGCGTCCGGGGAGAGCATCGCCACGCTCTGGGGCGTCCGGGGAGAGCATCGCGACGCTCTGGGGCGTCCGGGGAGAGCATCGCGACGCTCTGGGGCGTCCGGGGAGAGCATAGCGACGCTCTGGGGCGTCCGGGGAGAGCATCGCGACGCTCTGGGGCGTCCGGGGAGAGCATCGCGACGCTCTGGGGGCGTCCGAGGAGAGCATCGCGACGCTCTGGGGCGTCCGGGGAGAGCATCGCGACGCTCTTGGGCGTCCCGGGAGAGCATCGCGACGCTCTAGGGCGTCCGGGGAGAGCATCGCGACGCTCTGGGGCGTCCGGGGAGAGCATCGCGACGCTCTGGGGCGTCCGGGGAGAGCATCGCGACGCTCTGGGGCGTCTGGGAGAGCATCGCGACGCTCTGGGGCGTCCGGGGAGAGCATAGCGACGCTCTGGGGCGTCCGGGGAGAGCATCGCGACGCTCTGGGGCGTCCGGGGAGAGCATCGCGACGCTCTGGGGCGTCCGGGGAGAGCATTGCGACGTTTTGGGGCGTCCGAGGAGAGCATTGCGACGCTCTGGGGCGTCCGGGGGAGAGCATCGCGACGCTCTGGGGCGTCCGGGGAGAGCATCGCGACGCTCTAAGGGCGGCTGGGGAGAGCATCGCGACGCTCTGGGGCGTCCGGGGAGAGCATCGCGACGCTCTTGGGCGTCCGGGGAGAGCATCGCGACGCTCTAGGGCGTCCGGGAGAGCATCGCGACGCTCTGGGGCGTCCGGGGAGAGCATCGCGACGCTCTGGGGCGTCCGGGGAGAGCATCGCGACGTTTGGGGGCGTCCGAGGAGAGCATTGCGACGCTCTGGGGCGTCCGGGGAGAGCATCGCGACGCTCTGGGGCGTCTGGGAGAGCATCGCGACGCTCTGGGGCGTCCGGGGAGAGCATAGCGACGCTCTGGGGCGTCCGGGGAGAGCATCGCGACGCTCTGGGGCGTCCGGGGAGAGCATCGCGACGCTCTGGGGCGTCCGGGGAGAGCATCGCGACGTTTTGGGGCGTCCGAGGAGAGCATTGCGACGCTCTGGGGCGTCCGCTCTGGGGCGGCTGGGAAGAGCATCGCGACGCTCTGGGGGCGTCCGCTCTGGGGCGGCTGGGAAGAGCATCGCGACGCTCTGGGGCGTCCGGGTAGAGCATCGCGACGCTCTAGGGCGTCCGGGGAGAGCATCGCGACGCTCTGGGGCGTCCGGGGAGAGCATCGCGACGCTCTGGGGCGTCCGGGGAGAGCATAGCGACGCTCTGGGGCGTCCGGGGAGAGCAATCGCGACGCTCTGGGGCGTCCGGGGAGAGCATCGCGACGCTCTGGGGCGTCCGGGGAGAGCATCGCGACGTTTTGGGGCGTCCGAGGAGAGCATTGCGACGCTCTGGGGCGTCCGGGGAGAGCATCGCGACGCTCTGGGGCGTCCGGGAGAGCATCGCGACGCTCTGGGGGCGTCCGGGGAGAGCATAGCGACGCTCTGGGGCGTCCGGGGAGAGCATCGCGACGCTCTGGGGCGTCCGGGGAGAGCATCGCGACGCTCTGGGGCGTCCGGGGAGAGCATCGCGACGTTTTGGGGCGTCCGAGGAGAGCATTGCGACGCTCTGTGGGCGTCCGCTCTGGGGCGGCTGGGAAGCAGGCATCGCGACGCTCCTGGGTGCGTCCGGGGAGGGAGAGCATAGCGACGCTCTGGGCGTACGGGGAAGAAGCATCGCGACGCTCTGGGGCGTCCGGGGAGAGCATCGCGACGCTCTGGGGCGTCGGGGGGAGAGCATCGCGACGCTCTGGGGCGTCCGGGGAGAGCATCGCAAGGCTCTGGGGCGTCCGGGTAGAGCATCGCGACGCTCTAGGGCGTCTGGGGAGAGAGATCGCGACGCTCTGGGGCGTCCGGGGAGAGCATCGCGGCGCTCTGGGGCGTCCGGGGAGAGCATCGCGACGCTCTGGGGCGTCCGGGGAGAGCATCGCGACGCTCTGGGGCGTCCGGGGAGAGCATTTCGACGCTCTGGGGCGGCTGGGAAGAGCATCGCGACGCTCTGGGGCGTCTGGGTAGAGCATCGCGACACTCTAGGGCGTCTGGGGAGAGCATCGCGACGCTCTGGGGCGTCCGAGGAGAGCATCGCGACGCTCTGGGGCATCCGGGGAGAGCATCGCGATGCTCTGGGGCGTCCAGGGAGAGCATCGCGACGCTCAGGGGGCGTCCGGGGAGAGCATAGCGACACTCTGGGGCGTCCGGGGAGAGCATCGCGACGCTCTTGGGCGTCTGGGGAGAGCATCGCGACGCGCTGGGGCGTCCCGGGGAGAGCATCGCGATGCTTTGGGGCGTCCAGGAGAGAGCATCGTGACGCTCTGGGGCGTCCGGGGGAGAGCATCGCGACATTTTGGGGCGTCCGAGGAGAGCATTGCGACGCTCTGGGGCGTCCGGGGAGAGCATCGCGACGCTCTGGGGCGTCCGGGGAAAGCATCCCGACGCTCTGGGCCGTCCGGGGAGAGCATCGCGACGTTTTGGGGCGTCCGAGGAGAGCACTGCGACGCTCTGGGGCGTCCGCTCTGGGGCGGCTGGGAAGAGCATCGCGACGCTCTAGGGCGTCCGCTCTGGGGCGGCTGGGAAGAGCATCGCGACGCTCTTGGGCGTCCGGGGAGAGCATCGCCACGCTCTGGGGCGTCCGGGGAGAGCATCGCGACGCTCTGGGGCGTCCGCTCTGGGGCGGCTGGGAAGAGCATCGCGACGCTCTGGGGCGTCCGGGTAGAGCATCGCGACGCTCTAGGGCGTCCGGGGAGAGCATCGCGACGCTCGGGGG